CCATGTATGTGCATGCAGCCATGTATGTGGGTATATGCGTGCGTGCATGCAGCCATGTATGTGGGTATATGCGTGCGTGCATGCAGCCATGTATGTGGGTATATGCGTGCGTGCATGCAGCCATGTATGTGCGTGTATGCATGCTGTTCTCGTGCAGTAGCAGCGTACCAGGGACGGGCTCGTTGTTGAAGTTCAGCTCGAGCATGTGAGGTTTGGGCTCACGCGGCGTGTACGATGCCTTGAACGTCTGCATGCCCTGGTTGACGACGTCCACCTGCACTTTACCCTTGTTCACCATGATCTCCAGGTTGCCCGAGCCCGCCTTGTTCGCATCGACTACAAATACGAACAGCTCTGTGTACCAAACATTATGCTCACATGCACATTATGTGCACCAGGACATAACAAAAACAAACAAAAAATACAAAAAAATTAACATGCCAAAAATACACCAAAATCGGTAATTTGGTAAACGTATTTAAGAAAATTTGGTATATTTAGATAGAGAATTTTGAAAGAATGTACCAAGATTAATTTTGCATATCATAGCAGAGAGGACATGTTGGTTAATTTCTTAATTTATATGCTCATGAAATCACAAAGTTCCTTCACGTGTCACAAAGTAACATGGCAACGTATGTTTGGAAGAGCAAATGCTACGAATGCAACCCTACCAATGAACGAGATAGGAACTCCAACGAAACTGATGCTGCTGTCAGGCAGGCCATGGACTATAATACGTTTAGGATCTGTCGCCTTGATTCTGTAAGGGCTATTGCCGACATTGTGGCCTGCATATTTCACTTCCATCGTATGCTTTCCTGTAGAAAGAGTAAATACATCATTTCACTTTTACTTGAACAAAACATCATAACAAAAGTATGCACACTTTTCTCGACAGTGACCTAGGTAACTACGTGTATTTCAACTATTGCAGTTTAACAGTTATTCTGCATATAATATCTTCTCAATACCTATTTTTGGTAAACCAATGCAAATCGATTGGAAATAAGTTTGCCAGTGTGCATCTCTGATGACACAGGTTGGATATCCTTACTAAGTTGGTAGATCTCTAAACAATTCTTACCCATCTCCGTTAGAGCGTATTCAACTCTATACACATTATTCTGTGTTTCGGTCACTCGTGTTGGCAACACTCGTCCTTCTGGATCTGCGACAATAAAATTATCATTTAATAACACTCTCTCGCAGTCAGCCAGTATTCCTCATAACCACTTACTCGTCTTCAATCATCGTACGCTGTAACAACTTTAGGCGTACTTTTACTTCTAACACGTTCCAACTGCCTTAATCGCAGTCGTTAGTGGTTCACCCACATCGCGATTACCAGGGACCACTAATGCACATGGTCATTCGAGCCACAAGCGATTCACAGTCACCGATGTTAAGAGCCAAGTTTTCGCCGATTAAGACAATTCACTGCCTGGAAAGTGGCGTGAACCCTCTAACCAGCTGCACGTGCTAATCTGGGCATCACCATATTTTCACCATCTTGGCATTGTTCTCGCGGTGACTCGCTCCCAAGTCCTTCGCAGCATTACCTGTTAGCTTGACCTCAAGGAGGTTGCCGGGCTGGCCACCGGTGTCGATCTCAAACCACGCAGGCTTGTTTATAGTGCTGCCCTTCAGGCCTTCGCCGTACATGCGAATGCGATTCAATTCAACGACGTCAAACTGCCATGGACTCCCTGCGAAATCATCGCAATGCATAATTATGAGTGGTGAAAATCTAATAATTTTCTTTTAATACTAATTGTCTAATAATTTTCTTTGCGACATGGCGTCCATAGTTTTTTCGCGCGTTTACCTTGATGCTCAACTATGCTCGTGATTAATTCTGCACTTCTAAAACCATGCGAAAATACAATTGGGAAAAATCCACACCGGCACGATGAATTTTGAACACCAAACGAAACAAAATACGCTTATAAAAATCAATACGTGCCCGATAGATTTTGTACTCTGAAACAATGCAAAACACAAATGGAAGAAAATTCCATCGCGATTATAAATAATAAAGATGATCATGAGGAAAGTTTTCTCGAATGTTGCTTACCTCTCACGGTTTCCTTGTTGAAGCTCATTTCGACCGTGTGTCTGGACACGGTCTCGGGTATGAAGGTGCCCTTGAAGCGCTGACTGCCCAGATTCTCCACACTACAGTTGACATGGCCACCATTGACCATGATCTCCAGGCTGCCAGAGCCAGCCTGGGAGGCATCAACTGCAGTGCAACAACATATGTGGAGAAGGTCAACCCGGTGCTCGTCCGTTTCACTGCATGCCTTCGACACGGAAATCTTTACATGCACTTTAAATGAGTCTCTTTATCTTCCTCACTGTGTGCGTGTGGGTGTGCGTGTGGGTGTGCGTGCGCGTGTGTGTGTGTGCGCACGCGCGTGTGCTGTGCCTCTTCTTATTAACATCCAGGCGAAAAGATATCAAGCCAGTTCATGTTATATCATCAGTGAGCAGGTATGAAACTGAAACGCACTACATACCAGTAAAAGTGACAGGTATGCCCTTGCACACGGGTCCCTGGGGCATATCGACCAAGACAGCTCCCGGATCAGTGGTTTTCACAGTAAATGGCCCACCGCCAACGTGAGCCCCGGAGTACTTCGTCTCAATAGTATACAACCCTGAGAAGAAGATTGACAAGAAAAAGATTGACAACAACTTGGACAAAAGCGTCGCTCTCAGTTGCACTTCCAAGATTAAATAATCATTAACGGGAAGATGTCCATATTTTACTACACGACAACATAGAACGCAACATTAATAATATAACATTAAACGCAATCTTGTGAGCTGATAATACCATGTGGTAAAATACACACCAGGCGAACTAGCAACATAGTCTGCTCTGTAGACATTCTTTTGCGGGGTTTCCACGAGTTTTATTGGAACCCGCTCTCCGCTTGGGGCTGAAACATGAAAATTATAACCATTCCTAACAACTGTCGCTGGTACGGTTGTACATGGTTATACATACGACTATATACTACTACCACATTACACTACATATATACATTCATACATACATACTACTATACTACTACAACATTATACATACTATCATACATGGTTATCAAAAACAAATGAATGAATGGGATAATATTCCCATCAACGTTTATCTAAAACACACGGTGACACCCCTCTCCCCCTCCAGGCAAATATCCAGTCAACGCTGTAAAGTAAGGCACATCAAGTAATTCTGTCGTATATCATATGAAACAGGAGGCAGGGGATAGCATTAATGGAACGTTGTTGGTTCATTAATTCAGGCTGCTGTGTACTGCAGCTGTGGTTCAATCAGAAGCCCTAGGTTAACACTACAGGGAGCCAGTTTTACTGGGCAGACGTAGTAAACACTGTTGTGTATAATGCAGCTGTGGCTCAATCAGGAGACCTGGGGGTAACACTACGGGGTAAGGTTTCAGGGGACAGACGTAGTAAACACTGTTGTGTATAATGCAGCTGTGGC